GGATCTAATATTTATGTTAAAAATAACTCTGAGTACCAGAATGGACCAGAACTTGACAAAATAAATGAAGAAGGTATTATGGAGTGTTCAAGTGTATTTAGCAAAAATAAAAAAGTGACTATAATATGCATTTATAGACCATGTTCTGGTTCAAAAGAGGTTTTTTTTCAAAAACTAGAAAAGCTTCTCATTAATCTAACAAAATGGTTTAAAAACTACAAAATTGCCATTTGCGGGGACTTTAATTTAAATCTATTTGACAATAATAAAAATACTAAATTATTTATAGATTTATTGAAATCTTATAATTTTTACCAAACTATATTTAAAGCAACAAGAGAGTATAAGGGATCATCTACATTGATTGATAACATTTTTGTTAATTTTGAGAATTTTGTCCAAGGTGAAGTCATTGTATCGGCGCTCTCTGATCACCATGCTCAGCTACTGGAAATTAAAATTCCTGAAAATAAAAAAAACAATCAAAATCAATACAAAAGACTTTTTACAAGCAGAAAAATGTTATACTTTAAGGAAGAATTGAAATTGCAAAACTGGTCACAAGTTTATAATTGTGATGATTTAAATACTGCTTATGGCTTATTTAATAACATAGTGTCACTGACAATTAATAAAATATTTCCTCAAAAAGTTATAAAAGAAAATAATAAAAAATGGATTACCAAAGGAATTTTGATATCAACTAAGAACAAAAGAAAACTTTATATGCAAAAAATAAATGGTAAAATAGGTCTTGAATTTTATAAAAAATATTGTAAAGTCTTAAAAAAAGTAATTCATGCAGCCAAGCTTAGATCTGATGAAAAATATATTGAAATGTCATCAAATAAAGGAAAAGCTATGTGGAACATTATAAAAAATTACTCAACTGCAAATAAAACTAAAAACCAAGAATCTCTAATAGAATGTTTTAAAGAGAAAAATATTAATGATCCAACCTCAACATTAAATGAAATAAATAATTTTTTCATCCATCAATGTGGTCATGAAACTGTTAATAACTTATTAAGACTAAAAACTACAAATTATTCAATATTTTTAAAACCTACCAACTATACTGAAGTCTATAATTTGATAATGGATCTTAAGAATACTACTGCAGCTGGCTTTGACAACATAACGGTAAAAATACTTAAAAATTCAGCCTTAGAACTGCTACCACCATTAACTCATTTAATAAATATATCTTTAAATTCTGGAATTTTTCCAGATTTATTAAAAACTGCAGAAGTATTGCCAATTTATAAAAAAGGAGACAAAACCAATATTGGAAACTACAGACCAATAGCACTTTTATCAAACATAAGTAAAGTCTTTGAAAAAATTATATATCATAGACTAATATCATATTTTGAACAAAAGCAAATACTATCTAAAACGCAAAACGGATTCAGACAGGGTAAATCAACTATTAGAGCCATATTTCAAAGTATGACATTATTATTAGATGCACTCAATAATTCCGAAAAAACATCACTTGTATTCATTGACTTATCAAAGGCTTTTGATAGTGTGTGTCATAAAACACTACTACAGAAACTGGAATGCTATGGAGTAAGAGGAATAGCCCTAAAACTGATCTCAAGCTATCTTAATAACCGAAAACAATGTGTAATAGGAAAATCAGCTGAAGGCTTAAAATTAAAATCCGATTTCAAAATAATTGATAAGGGTGTACCTCAAGGTTCAATCTTAGGCCCCCTATTATACATTATATATGCAAACGACTTACCTCAGTACATCAATGTTCCTGTTGTATCCTATGCGGATGATACCACACTTATTATAAAGGAAAGCTCAATGGAAAATCTTCAAAATAAAATACTAAGCTCACTTGATGACATGGAAAACTGGTCCACCAACAATAGCCTAAAATTAAATGTAAACAAAACACAAATAATTAATTTTTCTTTTTGGAAAAACTACGAAAAGTTAACACTTACCAGAAATAATAGCATCCTATCAACACAGGAGTCTGCCAAATTCCTAGGAGTATATATTGATCATAGGCTTGACTGGTCAGTACATATAAATAACCTAGCAAAATCCTTGGCCAAAGATATCTACGGACTAAGCGTAATTTCAAAACATGTAAACAAAAAAGCTGCAATTACGATGTATAATGCATATGTAGAGTCTAAGCTTAGATATGGAATAATTTTCTGGTACAATTCGACTGATCTATACAGAATTGAAGTTCTTCAAAAAAGATGCTTAAGAAATATACTCAGTCTAAGTCAAATGACATCTTGCAAGCCTTATTTTTTAAACAATAATATCCTGACACTTGCTGGCCTATACATATATGAAGCAGTAATGTTCATTAAAAAAAATGAGGACTTGTTTAACAGTCAAGATCATATTTATAGTACAAGATACAAGCAAAACCTAACAACAGATTTAATACGATTTTCCTATCTACAAAAAAATGTTTGCTATAAAATAGTAAAAATATATAACCACCTACCTGCTATCGTAAGAGAACTTCCACTCAAAAAATTAAAGAATCGTCTGAGACTTGTATTGTCGAAGAAATGTTATTATCACACTGAAGAATTCATGAATGACCGACAAATTCAATCTTTTGATTTATGGAATGTCAAGGCCGACCCAAACAAACAATAACACATGTTTTTGTTTAATACAATTTCTTTATTGTTTTTTTTGTTGTTATGTATATTTACACTTTATTTTATGAATGATTTTGTATTAATTAATTTCTCTTTTTTTTTGACATGTTCTACACTATTGTATTATGGTATTTTTTGAACAAATAAACGGTATTATTATTATTATTATTATTGAATTTGTATTCAGTGTATGCCAGTTTAGGTTTATGTTTGTACTGGTATCACCACCAAAAAGTTTTTTTTTTTGTTTTTCTTCATTTTGTCTCTATTTGACCTCTTTTGTTTTTCTCTTGTAATTGAATGCTTTTGTTTATTGTATTACTAGGTTGTTATTTGTGTAGATCCTCAGTTTGGCTCGGGTGGTAGGAAGCCTCTAATACCTCGGTAGAGCCTCCTGTTTGCTGGGTTATAATCAATTCTGAGCGTTTGGTTGTCAATTTGCTCTATTCTGTTAAATACAGCTATGGTGCTAGATTTGACAAAATCCTCAAACGACGGGGTCTTTAAGTCATTTCTTATGTTCACATTCCGGACGTACCATGGAGCTGTTGTGATGGCCCGAAAGTATTTATTTTGCAGGGTCGCTATCTTTCTTCTATGCATCGCTGCCGCTGTGCACCATGCTGCACATGCATACGCGGCTACCGGCCTCATGATAGTTTTCCAGATCATTAATTTGTTTTTAAGGCTCAGTTGGGATCCCGGAGCGTAGAGTGGCCTTAGCGCTCCCATCATCGCTTTGACCTTTTCTCCCGTGTTTTTAAGGTGAGGGCCCCAGGTGAGCTTTGAGTCAAGGGTGACTCCCAGGTATTTAACGGATTTTTCCCATCTTATCTCATTTTCTTCTAGCGTCAACGGCTCCGGGTCTAGGCCAGATCCTTTTTGGAAGATTATTGTTTGGGTCTTTCTTGGGTTAATTTTCACCCTCCACTCACGGGCCCACTCCTCAATGTTGTCTAGGGCCTGCTGGAGTTTGGCCCTGATTCTTTCCCTGTTTAGGCTCGTTACATATAAGGCCGTGTCATCAGCATATAGTGTCAGAGAGTTCAAATCTCCCAGCATCAGGGTAGGGTAGTCCTCTGCCATTGCCCTTATAAATTCCTGTTCAGGGAATACATGTCCAGGGGGCAGATACCCTACCATAATTTTCATTCTACCCGCGAAAATCGTGTCCACATATATCGCTCCCAGCTCCAGCAGCGCCAAGTTGGGCACCGGGACCATGGAGTGCGATAGTGATTTTTTTATAAGCAGGAGAGTGCCTCCTCCTCCGTTTTCCGTGGTTCTTGGGTAACTATAAGTCAGATATCCTGCTAGATTTATCTTGTCCTTTTTCTTTAATCTTGTTTCCGTAATTGCAAAAATGTCCGGATTATGTTCCGTCTTAAGTACCTCCAGCTCTACCTTTCTGTTTTTGAGGCCGTTTGCATTCCAATTAATAAGCTTTAGGCCACTATGTCTAGTGGGGGCCGGTCTTGCTACTGCCGCGTTTAGGACGTTAGCCATGTAGGCTTGTGGCTTGAGAGTGACCTAAATTGATGTTACTTGACTTTATTAACTGGGTCAGAATTAAATCCTGGTTTGCTAGTCTGTTGAGTACAGTCGTGAGAGTCTGCATCACCAGATTATTATCAGGCAGAGTTTGCACTGGAGCAGTTTGGGTTGTTTGGCCGCTGGCCATTTGACTGTACGTTATGTTCCGGTTTCTGTGGTTTGTCGGAATTTGTGCGTTGTTTTGTGCGTTATTTTTCTTGATGCCATTGGGATTTTTTGGGCACACAGGCGCATTCGCCGTGTGTTTCCCTAGGCAGTTCACGCATTTGACACTAGTAGAATTTTTCGGTAACTTGCATTCTCTGGTGTCATGGGGCTCAGCGCACTTTAGGCATCTTGGCATAGCAGTGCACTTGGTCTGAGCATGGCCAAACCTCTGACATCTGTAGCACTGTCCTATGCTTGAGTTTCTTCTCAGTGCCTCCACTTTAATTTTCATATTGCAAATATACTCTAGTTCCCAGATTTTTGTCTTTGACTTTTCCACCTTAACTAGTATTAAGGGCATTTCGGTTCTATCCGCCCCTTTCTTCATGCGGATAATTGTTTCAGGGGTTAGTCCAAGGTTTGTGAGCTCCGCTTGAACCTCACTTATAGGTATCTCAGTGGGTAGGCCCCTGAGCACAACTTGGATTAACTTTTCTTCCGGCAAATAATACGTATGATATTCCTCTTTATTTGCCGTTAGGAAAGCCGTAATTTTCCTGTACGAGCTAATTTCGGTTGGTTGGAATTTGATTCCATCCCCTGTGTTTACGGCTTTATTATATCTCCAGCCTTGCCTGTCAAATTCCTTTGAGACTATCAGCCACCTTTTTTTTTGGCGTAATACTATCGGTGGGATTTTATCTTTTTGAGTTCATGTGTGTGCCTGTGATGTTGATGCCAAATTCGATGGAGTTTGTTGTGTAGGTGGGTGGTACGTAGATGGTGTCGTTGTCGGGAAATCATTTTCTTGTACGTTACTGCCAGAACTGCCAGGAGTAGTTTGTGCTGGCGGTGAATACCTAGGTGGTGGTAGCATTGGGAAATTTTCATTTTGTGTGGGCGTTAATTGGGAGTCTCCAACCAGCATGTTTTCCTGTATATTGGGTGCTGTTTTAGCAGCTCCTGGGGAGTGAGGGGTCAGGTCATTTGAGATTATGGGGGGGGTATAGCTAGATGTTGTTGCTATTTGCTTTGTTGGCCCTTGGTATTCCAGTGGTTGTGAGTTTTCTATGTCAGTTTCCATAGATTTGTCACTATCATTAGTTTTTTTGGCCTTTTTTCTTTTTGGGCTGTCAGCATCAATGTTTAAGGTGTTATCCTGCATTTCAACGCTTTGGGGGGCAGGCTTTGTGAGAGAACTTACTAATTTCTCCATTTGGAGTTGGAGATTTTCGATTTGAGCGGATTGTGCGCTTATTTGTGCAGATAGAGTTTCAACCAGCTTAGTCAACCTTTCGTTATCTTTTGCTAGTTTTTCATTTTCTCGTTCTAGCAAGCACTTTTTTATGTCAAAACCTGTGCTATGAGCAGCATTGTTCTGGTTTATTTTGGAGTTTATCCTAGCAACTTCATTCTCCACAACTTTGTTAGTTGTGCTAGGGATGTCATTTAATGTTTTTCTTCTCGATCTGTCTTTTTCCTTTTCCTTTTTTTCTTTTTTTTTCTTTGTCTTGTTCTTTGGATTTGGATTTTTTTGTGTTGCTGAGAAGAGGTTTCTCCTTAGTCGGGGACCTGGGTACCAGGTTTGATTTCTCGAATGCTTGATTCGTTTCGTTTATGTCTTTTATATGTGGGTTTTGTTCGTTCTCTATAGCGGAGTGTTCGTTTGATTTCTCCCCGAAATTGTAAAGTACAGGGACAATGTTTTTGTTAGGGAACAATTGGTCAAAATTTAGTGGCACACTTGTCATATTGACGCTTTAGGCACTGTTTATACACAATTTAATAAAATTATTTTGAGGATTAAAAGTTGCACCCAACGGGATATTGAAAAATTGTGACGTAGCGTTCAGTCTTCCGTCCGCTTTGTTTGAACTACGCTGTGCCGTTGTTGAAATGTTATTATGTTATAAGAGCTCTAACCCTGACCTCATCGTCCGCAAACTTCAGAAGGCACTGGGCAGAGTCAAGTCCTGGGCCGACAGGTACAGGGTTAGAATAAACCCGGACAAAACGCAGGCAATACTTTTCAGGAAAGGTGGTACATTGCCAGCATGCCTGAAATATGGCACCCAAGAAATCCCTTGGGCTCAGACAGCCAGGTACTTAGGGGTAACTCTAGACGAGAGGCTGACATGGAAACGCCACATAGATATCACCCTTGCAAAAATCATTGGAATTTCACAAACCCTCAGGCCCCTGTATCTTGGTAATTTCCTTAGTTTAAAGAACAAATGTATGATCTGGAAATCAATCATTAGGCCTATCATCACCTACGCTTGCGTGGCGTGGTCTACAGCTTCCAAGGCTAACATTAATCTCCTCGAGATTCAACAAAATAAATTCCTGAGGATCATTACCCGGGCCCGTTGGTTCGTCAGAAACTCCCAACTCCGTAACGAGCTTAATGTCCCTGAACTTGCCTCATTCATATACGCGCAAGCTAACTCCACGCTTGAGAGGACGGAGGCAATCGCAAATATAGCTCTACACTCTGCCCTGGATTACAATCCGGACGATAGACGTCTATATCGTGGGAGAATCACAAGAATGAGATATTGGCAAACAGAGCCAAACAGTGGAAACCATATACAAACTAAGACAAAACAAAAAACCTTTTGTGGTGGTGGTACTAGTTCAATTAAATTAAATTCAAAACACAAGCTTGCATTTTATATGAATACAAATTCAATGTAAACAGTAAATTCTTAAACAAATAGATTCTAAATCACAATCAATTAGCAAACACTAAATAAGTTTAAATAAGCCTAAACTCCTACTAGTACCACCAAATGTCGCTGTGTCTTAATATGGCACAGCACTCTTAAATATTTATGTATAATCAAATTCTCAAAACTTGTACAATTTCTCTTTATCATAATATTCTGCAGTCTTCCTCAGTAACTCTGAAAACTCTCAAAATCGTAATCTTTAGCAAGTGCAATTTATAAACTCAAAAACGCTTAAATTCACTAATAAAAACAATCAATCATTCAAACATACACAAAACAACCTAACATAACATGGAGCGAGCCTAACTCGCGCCACTGCAGACGAAGGGGGCGGGTGTCTTCTATAGGCACTTTGTCCCCTTCCCCCTGCTAGATAAAATGCATTATAGGCCGCTGGCGGCTCAATACTCACCTACCAAACCTATCCATACACCAGTGCTGAAAAGTACACTCCTATACTCTGATTATGTTCATTATTCTTCCTCTAAAGAGTAAGGGCAAAAGGTCCGTCTGACCTGACCCTTGCTCGGGCAAGAGCCCAGCACTTCTTAGGCCACAATACAATACAAATCGACAGTGAGTCGCTTTCTTATAAAAGAGAGGATCAGACCTCTCAAAAATCAGTTCGAGATTTCCTCTCGAGAAGACAACAGCTCCCTTGGTTGTCTACAAATACAAGTCGCCGCTTCAACTTCGAATTCGCTTTTAATTTCGATCCACCTGAGGGCCACCTTCCTTGCTGCTGCCACGAGGGCAGGGAAACAATTGTTCTTTTAAGAACAAACAGAAAAGATAGAAAAGACTTTGAGTAGTTTTGCCTTATATAAAAAGGGAAAAACTTCAACATCGTGGACGACAGCACCAGGACCCAGCCATTGGATTCCAGCCCTGCCAGCGAGGTCGAGCGACGTCCCAACCACCGGGTTGCACAGGTGGTCAACATCGCCGACCAGGTTCGTCAGCGGGGCCGTGCCAGGTCCAACAGCTGGGCCGATCCAGGTCCGACACCGGGGCCGTTCCAGGTCCGCCGCCAGGGCCGTTCCAGGTCCGACAGCTGGGCCGATCCCAGGCCATTCCTAGGGACGATCCTAGGCCTTTTGAAGGGGCACGCATGGTTCGTACCCGATCGCAAACCAGGATGGATGCGCAACAGGTGCCTGCCGGGGCCCCAGTCGTAGATGACGACGAACCAGAATACCTGCCAGCGGAAGACAGCTTCCTGGAGGGCACCGACGACGTTGTCCAGGTCCACGACGCCTCACCGCCATCCTCCACGACAACCATCCTCGCTGGGCAACATCCCGGAAGTGTCCAGGTGCCGGTGCAGGCATCCGACACGATTCCAGAGCACCGAGTCACCCGTGTACAACACCGTGTTGTACTCGATAGCTCGGGGTGGTCGAAATCGTAGAATCGACCGGCGCCGGTATTCTTCCGGGTTGGTTCTCCATTACGATGGTTGCATCCGAGGATGGCGGGGAAAGTGGACCTGGGGCTACGAGGTCCGCCTCGTCGACGATGCTATCTTCGGCCTCATGGAAGTGGTCAACCTCCTCGGTGACCACGGGATTGGAAGCGGCGACGCCCTCCGTAGATGGTTCCGACATCTGTGTTTGTGACCGGGTCAATACCATAAGCAACGGCTATGGTTAGGCCTGGGAACGGCCCGTAATACGGCCTGGGAGCGGCCCTGCGACCGGCCTGGGAGCGGCCCTGCGACCGGCCTGGGATCGGCCCTGCAACTGGCCTGGGAGCGGCCCTGCTGACGGCCTGGAAGCGGCCCTGTGGTTGGCCTGGGATCGGCCCACTCGTCGGTCTGAAAGCGACCCTGCTGAGGGTCAGGAATAGGCCCTGCTGGATACTCCTCTTGTTCCACTAGGTGTCTCGTTCGGGGCCACTGTCGAAGACCAGTGACCAAAGCACACGTCGTGGAAATAATCCTAACAAGGACTGATTGCCCCTCCTGAGGACTTCGAAGCGAAGCAGTGAAGTTTCTCTAAAGGGTAGCTCTGATAAGAGCCGGTTTTGCCTTTGCACCAGGTCTTTGGAATAAAACACCAGAGTAGCTTGTGTAGACGGTTTGAAATAGGCCACCAGTAAGCTGGGGGCTTGTCGAATCTTGGCTCAAGTGTCACTTGAGGTATCTCGATGAAGACTGACTTGAACGATGCTTGGATCGTTCTTATATAGAAACTCGGACCTCAGCCGTGCTCTGATTCGTCCCGATGTTTGACCAATCAGAGACGAACAGCGACTGAGGCCCGTTTCGACATGCCCCCCTGGTTTTTTAAACAAACCGTCAAGATTTATTTAAAAAATTCAGGTAAATAACAATAAACTTTGGATTTTTTACAAAAATAAATGTTCGTACAGAGTTTTCGCGCACTTGCATTGTTTTTGGGCACTGCACTTACTCTGCTATTTCACTTATTGCACTTGTCTTGGGATGGGCCTGATGTCGTCTACGTGGAGTGGAACTGCTCGGCCATCCGTTCTAATTTCGTATGTCACCGGCGAAATCCTCCTGACGACGGTGAATGGGCCCTTCCAAGGGTCGCCGAAGTTGGTCCTTTCGTGGTTTTTGATTAAAACCTCGTCCCCCGCTTGGAATTGTACCGGAACGTGAGCTGGATCGCCCACGTATTCTCTGGCGAAGATTTGTTTCCTTCGGCGGAGTTGTCCATCATGGTTTTCCCTCGACTGTTGGACCTCTTGGGCTCGTGGAATGAGCCAATCTCCGGGCTGGCGGGGCTCGTAACCAAGGAACGCCTTGGCTGGTGTCTCCCCTGTGGCACGGTTGACTCGTCCTCGTAGTATCCCTGTGGCTCGTGGTAGAAGTTCATACCAGGGGGCTCGTGGATTGGTTTTCATCAGTGCTCGAATGATTTTTTTCGTTTCTTGCACCTGTCTCTCCACGGGGTTGGCCCTTTGGTGATAGGCCGCTGCGTTGACCATCCGGATACCCAGTTTTCTGCAATATCGTTCCCATTTCGTGAGTGTGAACTGGGAAGCGCAGTCAGCTATGATGATTTCCGGAACTCCATAACGCAGGAACAATCCATCCAGCACGGCGGTGATGGTGTCATGACGGGAGTCTTTGACTGCACTGGCTTCTGTCCATTTTGTCAAAATATCTTCGACAATCACGGCGTATTCAGGTTCGTTCCCATTTCCTCGGTAGCGGCCCAGCGTGTCGATTGATATCATCTGCCAGGCCTTGGTCGGGGAGTGGGTTGTCATCGGGGCTGCCTCTTGGAGATTTCTACCCTTGATTTGTCGGCAAACTAGGCAAGCTTGCACATATCGCTTGATCTGGGCCCCCATCCGGTCCCAGTAGAACCGTCCGTCGATGGCTCTAGTTGTCTCCTTCTGTCCAGGGTGTGCCCCGGCGTCGCTGGCGTGGAAATGGTCCAGGATCTTCTGTCGCATCCCCTCCGGCACGTAGATTCGGCAAGATCCATCTTGTCGTCGTTGAAACAGATTATTTGTGGCTGACACCAGGAAGTTGGCCACCAGGCTGCGTTCGGTGTCATCCTGGGGTCCATCTTCTTCAGCCCGTTTGATCCTGCGTACCAATCCCTGTGTAACATGGTCCACCAGTTGCCCGTTCAACACCTCTTGTATCAGAGGTTCATCCTGGACGGCACAAACTTCGGGTGTAGGGATTAACTCATCGTACTGGACGGCGGGGCCCTCCGTGCATTCCACAGCATTCCTGGACAAGTAGTCGGGCAGTTGGTTTGTCTTCCCTGGGACGTGTTCGAGGTGGAACGAAAATTCCTGTAGCAGTAGTGACCACCTAGTCAGCTTGGCCCTATCGTCTTTGTGATTCTGCAACCACACCAAGGCCCTGTTGTCCGTCCTGATGGTGAAATGCTGATCCTCGAGGTACGGCCTGTACCTCCTGACAGCCCAAACCATCGCCAAGCATTCCTTTTCATTCACGTGGTACTGTTTCTCGGCCTTGTGGAATTTCGAGGAACTGAAGTGGATTAAATGCTTGGCACCTTCTGGATCCTTCGGCCTCATGGAAGTGGTCAACCTCCTCGGTGACCACGGGATTGGAAGCGGCGACGCCCTCCGTAGATGGTTCCGACATCTGTGTTTGTGACCGGGTCAATACCATAAGCAACGGCTATGGTTAGGCCTGGGAACGGCCCGTAATACGGCCTGGGAGCGGCCCTGCGACTGGCCTGGGAGCGGCCCTGCGACCGGCCTGGTAGGTGGACGAGACAATATAAATAGATAAAAATGTTTAAAATATACAAATATTAGTTAAAAAGTCTTTAAAATTATTATATACTCTCTTCAAAGACTGCTAGCGTATTGAATTTTCAAATCAAGAGATTGACACTCTTTTAGATTTATGATCGTAGTGAGAATGTGGAGAGAGTTACTTGATCCACCTACTACCAATTTACAATATTATTGGTATCTGTATAGGAGATAACCAGCGCAGTATTCTGGTTATCTTACCTGCGAGCTATCTGTTTCCACAGTAGCCCCTGGTGTCTTAATATGGCTCAGCGTTGGCATCCGCCGCGGCGCCCGATATGAGCCGTGACCCGTCTGCCAAACCTTTTCTGGTGGGGGCAGTCCGAGTCCAATCTTATGACATAATATATATATAGCCTATGCGCAGATAGGGATTGTGGTATTCGACATAGTGTCTAGTACCCAATCTTACAAAGGTGCTTATGTACTAATATGGTCGGCATATATTGACCTTGGGTGATGGTTCTCTCGCATCAAGTCCGGTGTTCAAGCGTTCCGTCCGACATATGATCACCTATGCCGGCCGGCACGCATGTGCACCGACCTTGGTCGATGTCTGCATCGCCCCGTTCTTATCTGTCTTATATTTAGTATGGTCTCTAAATCTCTAGTATAGAGGCCACAGCGCTTGACTTAGAGTCTTACGCCCAGTCTAATTACCTGTGTTTATAGACTCCACACGGAGTCTGCGGAGTGAAGGATTCGTCCCCCAGGGACTGGTGCGCGTGCACACCAGTTTGGTTCGCTCGGCCCCGTCACTCCCTGTCTAATTAATGAAACAGTGGTTGTCCAACTCAATATTATGGTCGATCACTAGTGTGCTCGACCTTAGCATGACATGTAATCATGACATGCTCTTGGCTTAAGTATTGCAGGTTCCCGCATAATTGCGACAACTCGCCTTAGCTTAGGGGTTTTATGTCTATCTATGCAATACAGATCTAATTACGAGATTTAACCTATTGTTAATCGCCGTCTAGGAGTTGAAGTTTTGGCCTCCGGTTCCTGGCGAGGTCTCTTGGGTCATAGTCAGTGGCTTCTCTGATCAGGTGGTTCCAGTGGTTTTCGGTCTTTTCGAAGACTCTCTCCGCCCTGTTTTTGAGTACGGTGTCTAGTTGGTCCATTCCTGCCTCTCGGAATATGGTGGTATTTCTGATATACCATGGGGCCGACATCGCTCTTCGGACCGCGATGTTATCTGCGGCCATAAGTCTTCTTTTGTGGCATGTTGCTGTCATCCCCCATGCTGCTGACGCGTACGTCAGTATGGGTCGGAGACAGGTTTTCACGAGACGAAGTCTATTGACAATGCTTAACCTTCCATAGACGCCTATTAGCGGCTTTAGTAGGTTCTGCACTGTCTTAGTCTTCTGAATCGTGTTATCTACGTGTTTCTTGAAGGTGAGGCGCTTGTCTAGGGTGACTCCTAGGTAAGTCACGCTGTTTTTCCATTCGATCTCTTGTTCTTCGTACTCTAGTCTCCGGGGCATGCGTCTCCTCCTTGAGATGATGATAGCTTCACTTTTGTCTCCATTTATCTTTATTTTCCACTTAATGCACCATTCATTAAGTTCGTCTAGCGCTTCTTGAAGCTTGCGGGCCACAATATCTACGTTACAACTCTTGTAAGCGTAGGCTGTGTCGTCCGCATATAGCGCCATTAGTGTTCCTCTGGGGCCTTTTGGGACGTCATGGATAAAGATGTTGTAAAGCGTGGGAGAGAGGATTGCTCCTTGTGGTACACCTGCTTCTATGACTCTGGCAGAGGATAGTTCTCTTCCTACTCTGACCCGCAGTTTGCGGGCCCGTAGGAAGGAGTCCATCAGTTGGATCAAGGCTAGCGAGTAGCCTTTTTCGTGTAATTTAACTATCAGTCCGTCATGCCAGACAGAATCGAATGCCTTAGCGACGTCCAAGAGAACTACACCTGTGGATAGTTTAGCATTTAGCCCGGAGGCCGCATGCTCAACTAGCCGCAGTACTTGCAGTTCTGTGGAGTGACCGCTGCGGTAAGCGAACTGTTCGTCCGGAATCGTTTCCAAGGTGTCTGTTTCTTCTCTAAGTCGTCGTAGTACGACAGCTTCGACAAATTTACCAACTGCCGGGAGCAGGGATATTGGTCTGTAGTTTTGTGGAAATATTCCGTCTTTCTTCGGTTTTGGTATATTTACCACTATGGCTGTTTTCCACCTTTTTGGGAAGTATCTCAGTGTTAGGACGCTGTTAGCTAGTTTTACTAGTGCCTCTTGTCCCTTGCGGGGTAGGAGTTTTAGAGCTCTGTTTGGTATTTGGTCAATACCCGGGGCTTTCCTAGCTTTCAGATGCTTAAGAATCTGACGGACCTCGAGGAGATCCGTAGGTTCTAGGTTTGACCCAGGAACGCTTCTTCTCAGTTGTCTTACTAACCGCCTTGCTCGGTCCTCGAAATCCTCGTCTTCCAGGGGGTGAGAGTTTTGTCTAAACTGTCTCTCAAGGCAGTCGGCAAAAGCCTCTGCCTTGTCAGAGTCAGTGTAGACAATACCGTTCTCCCCGTGGATTGGTGGTAGTTTCTTTCTGTCTGATCTGAGTACTTTTTGCAGCCTCCAGAACGCTTTTTGGTTTGTGTCCAGGCTTTCCAGGAATAGTCCCCATTTGTTGTTTTGGTATGTGTATAAGGCCGCCCTGAGCTCGTGCTGCAGTCTAGCGGCCCTCTGCTTATCTGCAGGGTCTAGAGTATTTTGAGCACGTCGTCGTGCTCTTCTGTTTTCTCTTACTTTTTCTTGGAGATCGTCTGGCAGTAGTCCATATGGGCTAGCCTGGTTTATTTGTCTTTCCCTGGTGCTATCTCGCAGCGCGTTGGTGAGAGTCGCCTCGAAGGCCTCTGCAGCGGCTTCCAGGTCTTCTTTTGTTTCTATGTCCGGTAGCGGTGCCATTCTGGCGACTTTATTACCAAATATTTCCCAATCTGTGGTTTTTAGCGTTCTGGTATTTTCCACCTGAGGGCCATGTCCTATTTCCATCACGATGGGGTTGTGATCCGAGGGTCCGTCTTGCACTACACTGATTTCATATTGCACTCTTGGTCGCGACACTATCGCGATATCTAGTATGTCCGCACGTTGGTTGCGGGCATCTGGGTAATGCGTAGGTGATACCGGGGCGACCACCTGCAAGTTCGTATCGTCGAGGTACGACCGTAGCACATACCCGTTTTGAGTGTGTGTACGGCAGTTCCATAACGGAGACTTTGCATTAAAATCGCCAATCGCTATCACCTCCGAATTATTATTCGCGAAAAGAGAGTCTAGGTCTGGCACGGTCAATGTCGCTGAGGGCGAGTAACAATTATTATATACAAGGGAGATCGTACTAAATCCGTGCACGAGGTGCGAAATATTAGCTGACCAATGAGCGATCAGTAAACTGGGGGCGGGGCTTGTGAGCTCTGTTGCTCTGGCTATAAAGCCTGAAATCGACCTGTGACCGCAGCATTCTCATTCGTTCATTCATTCATTCCATTCGATTCATTCGACGTTAGGCGGCTGAACTGAGTAGGTCGTTGTAACGCTCGACAATTTACACTGTGTTTACTGTGATAGTTATTTTATTCAAGATGTTTAGTTATTCCTGTCTACAAGTCTACGTTTCAACTGTGAAAGTCAAGTGTGCGTAAAACCTAAGGTTAGTCTTTTACTTTTTACATGTTTTAAATCATTTACATGTCTCAAAACTCTTTTAAACTGTCAAATTTTCTCATACTAGTATATTATATTCTTCAAATACAATTTCTAAATTTACTGCCACGCCCAACAATAAAGTGTGCAGCGTCAACCGCCGCGCTGAGTCTCACTCAGGGCGGACGGACGGAAGACTGAACGGCGCGTCATCGTTTTCACGACCGTCGTTTCTCGCCCTATTTCCACCCTTCTGGTTTAATTTTCAAGTTCATTTTACCCTCATTTTGTCTACAAGTGTTCACTTTACCGGTGCAATACCTAACATCACGGTTTTTCCCTATTTTTCTGGCATTTTTGTGCAATTCAAGTTGCACACTTTTCAATCGACATTTCTCTACTTTTCTCGTGCACATATGGCATAAATCATGTCCACAACGGAAATTAAAGCCAGCACAGGTACCATAAGTAAATCCAAAGCAAAAATTTCACCAGAAATCACCGAAAAAATGAAAAAATTCGATCAAAATCCCAAAATAAAAACGAAAAATTCTCTTACGGTACGACAATCAAATCAGGACAACAACGAAATTCTTCTCCTATCCAAAGAAAATTCTAGACTCATCTCTCTAGCTGAGTCACTGTCAGCACAGCTAGAATCCCAAAACAAATTATTATCAAGCCAATCAGAAACCATCAACAAGCTACAACAAGAAATAGAACTTCTAAACAAAGGCCTCTCAAACAGCAACCAGAGCAAACGCAAACTATCTCTAACTGACGACTTCCAACCTCTTAAACGCATTCCAACTCTTCCATCTCTGCACAATGACAATCTCTTCACAGCATCCAGCTCGAGTACTGCAAAGACTCCGGCTCCCAGCTGCTATACTCCACCTAGCCCAATAATAGAACAAAACGTCCCTCCTATAATCATCAGGAACAAATCTCAATGGCAAAAACTATCAGAGGAGCTCACCTCTCTTGGTTTTCACTATACAAAGGCCATAAACACATCTCAAGGCATGCGTTTTCACCCTTATAACAACTCTATCCACAAAAGTATCACCACACATTTAAATAATTCCAACATCGAGTTCCACACCTTCCTATTGCCTGAAGAACGTCAACTTCAGGTAGTACTAAGAGGCCTCCCCCTAGAAATAGAGATCAAAGAAATTGAGGCTGAAATCAAACAAAAATTCAATCCCACCTTAGTCACGAGGATGAAGAAGGGCAAGGATCGAACACCCATGCCTTTAATCCTCGTAAAACTTCCCCCGGCCCAAAAGAACATCTACAAGATTGAATATCTCTGTAACATTAAAATTTCTGTTGAGCCACTCAAACCCTCCAATAAGATATCGCAATGTTACCGTTGCCAGAAATTCGGCCACATCCAATCCAGATGTTCAGCACTTCCTAAGTGCCTAAAATGTGCAGGCCCGCACCTCACCAACGAATGCATGGAGCCTTTCAACCCCGTGTGCGCCAACTGTAAAGGTGGCCACACAGCAAACGCTCCTATATGTCCCAAAAACCCAAATAATCCCAACAAAAAAACATCCCCTCCGTCAACCAGCTCTCTAACCAACAAACCATCATACAGCCAAGCTACAGCACAACCAAACATCCTACCAGAAAACACACCATTGAATGTACCCCAAAACCTCCCTCCAGAATTCGCCAACACATTGGCAAAAATCCTAAATGCCTTAAGCAATCTGGAAAAGAAGGTTGACGAGCGAGACAAACAAATTATAAACGCTAATAGACAGCAACCAAACTCGTAAGTTTACTTTATATCACTTTAATTGCTATTTATTGTCAACTTTTTATTTTTTATTTTTAATTTATTTTTAATTATAACTTTCAAATACAAGTTTTAACTACATGTCACAGTAACTGTTTCCTACTCTAAGTTTGTCTAGTCACTAATCGTCAACCTATTTACATTTACATTTACTTTCACACTTTCATGCTATATTTGTTCAGATTTATTTAGTCTTTTTTACAGCTATATTCGTATTTGTTTATACTTATGGCTAACTTACTTATACTTACATTGTCTTTCTACTATAGAATTAAAACGAGTTATGTCAGGCCTTCAGCCAACTTTGAAACTATAAATCTATTTAATAAATTCATTACTAACAACTACTACTAACCAAAGCCATTACAACAACAAAATGTATTTTACACACTGCCAGTCGAAAGAGGTGTAACCAAATGGTTGCATCCCCTAGACAAGGCAAAGAGAAACAGCCTCACCCACTACCAGTAAAAAAAAAATATATTTAGGTTAAATTTTTCGCTTAAAATTAACTAGAACTCACCTCAACAGCTACTGGTGCTGTGCGCCACCTAGCTGGAGGAGGTCCAAACCCTCAAATCAAGATCACTTATTTTACAACCTACTTTAAAAGTTTAACCAAAATATGTTGGAACTTAAGGTCAAAATTTGACCAGTTCCATGTGGGTTGATTTGAAAAAATCTCTCACAAGTCGAAAGAGGCAACAGACCGCAGCATTCATTCATTCGTTCATTCATTTTACTGTTCATTGATTCGACCATTCATCGCTTATTAATTCGACGTTAGGCGGCTGAACTGAGTAGGTCGTTGTAACGCTCGACAATTTACACTGTGTTTACTGTGATAGTTATTTTATTCAAGATGTTTAGTTATTCCTGTCTACAAGTCTACGTTTCAACTGTGAAAGTCAAGTGTGCGTAAAACCTAAGGTTAGTCTTTTACTTTTTACATGTTTTAAATCATTTACATGTCTCAAAACTCTTTTAAACTGTCAAATTTTCTCATACTTGTATATTATACTTCAAATACAATTTCTAAATTTACTGCCACGCCCAACAATAAAGTGTGCAGCGTCAACCGCCGCGCTGAGTCTCACTCAGGGCGGACGGACGGAAGACTGAACGGCGCGTCATCGTTTTCACGACCGTCGTTTCTCGCCCTATTTCCACCCTTCTGGTTTATTTTTCAAGTTCATTTTACCCTCATTTTGTCTACAAGTGTTCACTTTACCGGTGCAATACCTAACATCACGGTTTTTCCCTATTTTTCTGGCATTTTTGTGCAATTCAAGTTGCACACTTTTCAATCGACATTTTTCTACTTTTCTCGTGCACATATGGCATAAATCATGTCCACAACGGAAATTAAAGCCAGCACAGGTACCATAAGTAAAACCAAAGCAAAAATTTCACCAGAAATCACCGAAAAAATGAAAAAATTCGATCAAAATCCCAAAATAAAAACGAAAAATTCTCTTACGGTACGACAATCAAATCAGGACAACAACGAAATTCTTCTCCTATCCAAAGAAAATTCTAGACTCATCTCTCTAGCTGAGTCACTGTCAGCACAGCTAGAATCCCAAAACAAATTATTATCAAGCCAATCAGAAACCATCACCAAGCTACAACAAGAAATAGAACTTCTAAACAAAGGCCTCTCAAACAGCAACCAGAGCAAACGCAAACTATCTCTAACTGACGACTTCCAACCTCTTAAACGCATTCCAACTCTTCCATCTCTGTACAATGACAATCTCTTCACAGCATCCAGCTCGAGTACTGCAAAGACTCCGGCTACCAGCTGCTATACTCCACCTAGCCCAACAATAGAACAAAACGTCCCTCCTATAATCATCAGGAACAAATCTCTATGGCAAAAACTATCAGAGGAGCTCACCTCTCTTGGTTTTCACTATACAAAGGCCATAAACACATCCCAAGGCATGCGTTTTCACCCTTATAACAACTCTATCCACAAAAGTATCACCACACATTTAAATAATTCCAACATCGAGTTCCACACCTTCCTATTGCCTGAAGAACGTCAACTTCAGGTAGTACTAAGAGGCCTCCCCCTAGAAATAGAGATCAAAGAAATTGAGGCTGAAATCAAACAAAAATTCAATCCCACCTTAGTCACGAGGATGAAGAAGGGCAAGGATCGAACACCCATGCCTTTAATCCTCGTAAAACTTCCCCCGGCCCAAAAGAACATCTATAAGATTGAATATCTCTGTAACATTAAAATTTCTGTTGAGCCACTCAAACCCTCCAATAAGATATCGCAATGTTACCGTTGCCAGAAATTCGGCCACATCCAATCCAGATGTTCAGCACTTCCTAAGTGCCTAAAATGTGCAGGCCCGCACCTCACCAACGAATGCATGGAGCCTTTCAACCCCGTGTGCGCCAACTGTAAAGGTGGCCACACAGCAAACGCTCCTATATGTCCCAAAAACCCAAATAATCCCAACAAAAAAACATCCCCTCCGTCAACCAGCTCTCTAACCAACAAACCATCATACAGCCAAGCTACAGCACAACCAAACATCCTACCAGAAAACACACCATTGAATGTACCCCAAAACCTCCCTCCAGAATTCGCCAACACATTGGCAAAAATCCTAAATGCCTTAAGCAATCTGGAAAAGAAGGTTGACGAGCGAGACAAACAAATTATAAACGCTAATAGACAGCAACCAAACTCGTAAGTTTACTTTACATCACTTTAATTGCTATTTATTGTCAACTTTTTATTTTAATTTATTTTTAATTATAACTTTCAAATACAAGTTTTAACTACATGTCATAGTAACTGTTTCCTACTCTAAGTTTGTCTAGTCACTAATCGTCAACCTATTTACATTTACTTTTACTTTCACACTTTCATGCTATATTTGTACAGATTTATTTAGTCTTTTTTACAGCTATATTCGTATTTGTTTATACTTATGGCTAACTTACTTATACTTACACTGTCTTTCTACTATAGAATTAAAACGAGTTATGTCAGGCCTTCAGCCAACTTTGAAACTATAAATCTATTTAATAAATTCATTACTAACAACTACTACTAACCAAAGCCATTACAACAACAAAATGTATTTTACACACTGCCAGTCGAAAGAGGTGTAACCAAATGGTTGCATCCCATAGACAAGGCAAAGAGAAACAGCCTCACCCACTACCAGTAAAAAAAAAAAAAATATATTTAGGTTAAATTTTTCGCTTAAAATTAATTAGAACTCACCTCAACAGCTACTGGTGCTGTGCGCCACTTAGCTGGAGGAGGTCCAAACCCTCAAATCAAGATCACTTATTTTACAACCTACTTTAAAAGTTTAACCAAAATATGTTGGAACTTAAGGTCAAAATTTGACCAGTTCCATGTGGGTTGATTTGAAAAAAAATCTCTCACAAGTCGAAAGAGGCAACAGGCTTGGACCGCAGCATTCGATCGACGGCAAGTGAAAAGTACAGTTTAGCGGACGCTGAATTTAGTAGGCGTCCGTCGGCGTCGTTCGGACTTAGTCAAATTTCTGTGATTTTATTTTATTAATGGACTTGTAAAAATTTTAAAATGTTTCGTAAAGTGTTTGTCGATATTTCGTGTATTTTCGGACTTGAAAATTTTTAAACAATTTGGTCTCATTTCGGCCATAACGGCATAGTTCCAAGAGTGAGTGCAGTGTTGCCAGATTTCTGGAAAATCCCAGACCCTAGGGAAAACTTTTGAAGCCAAACCAGTGCGACGTTGCCAAATTTCCCAAATTTCCCAGAACCTGGGAAATTTTGGAAATCCTGCAGGATCAATCTACAAAGTCAGTAAGTCATTTTAGCAGTACTAATTTTTTGTTAAAAAATCTTTTACTACACATTACAACAGAATTAATCCCAAATTTGCATAATTATTTTGACATTTTGAGTTTGTGTAAGTCTCTTGCACAAACCTAACTCGATTACATACATATTGTTTATTCTGTATCATAATTTGCCCTCATAATGCCCCAAACCCCCCCACCCCAGCCCAAATCTGACGCAAAGCCAACATCATTTGGCAGATCCTCCCTAACCTTACGAACCCCAACAAAGGGGCAATTGCAAGATAACAATAGACCCCCACAGGACGCTAAACCCGTGGCAAAAAAAACGGTTAAAAGAAAACCAACCGTCATGTCCTACTACGACGATGACAATGACAAGGAAAACTTGGACAAAAACTTAAGTTTGCCTGAACTATCACCTATCACTAAAGAAAACCTGCTGAAAGAGTCAGCCAAGCTCAACTCGAATAACATTTCACCAACCATCTTGGCAAAAATAGATCTACTCTTTCCAAAAAAAGCCGCAGGGGCAAGCAATAATCCTAAATCCACTACACACTCTATAGAGACGAGCAAAACGAACCCTGGCGACCCAACATCCCCTGAACAAATCGAAATTGCCCGCCTTCAAAGGGAAAATTCCAGGCTGGTTGACATGCTGGAGAAAATGTCCAAGCAAATTGACGCCCTGCAAAATCAGGTTGCCACCTTGATTGCCCAAAATTCAAATAAGCCCAGCGGCTCTGTAACACCTCAGAACTCTCAGCATAGCCCAATGGAAATCTTGGCATCCTCTCAACCAGCAGTTCTTACCACCCCCAAAACTCTCACTGGTAAAAACACAAAGAGAGCCAAGAAGAGGAAAATTAAAGACACCAACACAACCTTGGAATCCAACGAATCTTTCGAATCAGTCCCCACCCCAAAAACAGGATACATCCCCCCAACACCGCAAATTCCTTTAAAAAACTTGCCTTCAACTAGCACAGGAATCTACAAGGCCCCTGCTATGGTACAGAAACCAAATGCAGAACCAGCACCGAGTAAGATTCCGCCTATTGTGCTACGCAACAAATCCAGATGGATCATGATAGCGAAGAAGTTTGAATCCAGGAAATGGGCCTTCACCAAGGCTATTAGCACAGCTGAGGGCATCAAGTTCTTCCCATGCACATCGGACATCTTTAGAGCAATCACACGATTCCTCTCTGACAACGGCGAGGAGTACCACACATATTCACTCCCTGAAGACAAATTACTACAGGTAGTCTTACGTGGTATTCCCACCGAGATTCCCATAAAAGATATCGAAGCAGAACTTGTAGCCCTTGGCTACAACCCGTCCGGCCTCATTAGGATGAAGAAAGGCCCACAAAGACTCCCTATGCCCTTGCTGATCGTCAAGGTTCCAAAAGATCAGACCTCAATTTACCAGGTGGAATACCTCTGCCACATGAGGGTTAAGGTCGAGGTCCTCAAAAGAGGGGACTCGGTAACGCAATGTTACAGATGCCAAAGATTCGGGCACGGCCAGACCAACTGCACAGCCAAGCCGAAGTGCGTGAAGTGTGGTCAAGATCACCAGTCCTTTGACTGCGTCAAACCAAAAACGGACACACCCACATGCGCTAACTGTAAAGGAGACCACACCGCCAACTCCATGGCCTGCCCAAAAAACCCCAATGCTATCAAACGCCAAAACAAGGTCGCAAACCAAGCAAAAACAGTAACTCCTGGGATTTCATATGCAAACGTCGCAAGTAACCATCAGGCTAATGCAAACTCCAACCAACAGGTAGAACAACCCATGACCAACGACATCGGCAACGTGTTGTTCACAATACTGGACAAACTTAATGGGTTAGAGGCTAGAATAGCCAGGCAAGAGACTAACCAGGTCACCTTCTCCAATAGATTCAATAATGTGTAGTCTCCACACTCCTGAAAACCTCAAAATCATTAGTTGGAACGCTAATAGCATAACAAACAAAATTCACGAACTAACCACTCTTGCAATGGATGAAAAGGCTGACGTCCTATTGGTCTGCGAGACGAGACTAACACCACTCCAAACTCCCAAGATCCCCGGGTATACAGGGTACTACAGAACACGGGCCAACAACAGAAGTGGAGGTGTTGCCGTATTTGTACGGTCCAACATTGACCACTGCTCCATGCCAGAACCCCAAACCAACGTCCTCGAAACATGCTCAGTCGCCATAAACACCAAATTTGCTGGCATGATCAAAGTCATGGCAGCATATCATCGGCCACAAGATTCTTTCATACAACAGGACTATACTAATGCCATGGCTCATGACTCTCCAGTAATTATGGGTGGCGACTTTAATGCAAAGCACCCGGACTGGAATTCACGGACCACTAATGTCAAAGGTAAAAATCTAGCTGAGGCAGCGAACAGAAACTACTGGGAAGTTCTGGGGCCCATAGAACCAACCTTTTTTAGGGGCACATCAAGACCTGACATCCTTGATGTATTTATAATTAAGGATCTACATCACAACACCGAAGTAACCACTTCTCATCAATCCTCGTCAGACCATAACCCTATTATTCTTACGGTGGGACCAAACAGAGAGTCAATAAGCTACAGAACTGCCAAGAAAACCAGCTGGCCTAGATATGTACAATACCTAAAACAAAACACCCCGGTAATCGTCCCCCCAACCAACAGAGACCAGATAGACGAACACGCGCAACTCCTGTCAGAGATCATCTCCAACTCCATGGCTGCAGCCACCTCCTCGTCTATAGTCCAAACCAAAAACCTGTTTGAGATCCCCAACCCGATTAAAAGACTCATAAGGACTAAAAGAAAGGCCAAAAAGAGAGCCGAAACTACTCTGCACCCGGCAGACAAAGCCACCTTCAACAGGCTCAAAAGAGAACTGACAGCAGAGCTTAAAGCCTTTCACAACAACAGATGGCAGGAAAGGCTGGAATCTCTAGAGGTTGGATCCAGGGACTTCTGGCGTATCTCCAAGTCACTCTGCAAGAAGAATAGTAAGACCGTCCAACCCCTGCATGGACCAAATGGGCTGGCCTACCTTAATGAAGAGAAGGCGGAAATCTTTGCAGACTTCTTGGAAAGCCAGTTCACGCCCAACCCTGCGTCTGACGACTACTCTGAAGAAGACCAAGAGGTCAGAGACACCTACCACATCATTAAGGAGGCAGCCCCACTACACACCATCAGACCTACCACCAGTGATGAAGTGAAATCTATTATCAGCTCACTCAAGAAGAAAACTGCCCCTGGGCATGACGGCATTACCAACACCGCCCTAAAATTCCTACCTGAACAGACTCTCGCCATACTCACTGATACAATAAATGCCACACTAAAATTCTCACATTTCCCCAAGCCGTGGAAACAAGCCACTGTTGTTATGATCCCCAAAGGTCCTGGTAACAACCTAATTCACACCGAAAACTACAGACCAATTTCTCTGCTGTCAACCCTGTCCAAGGTTGGTGAAAGGATAGTAAAAATAAGGCTTGAGGAAGAAATTGAGGAACATAATGCGCTTCCACCAGAACAGTTCGGCTTCAGGAGAAAACTGTCGACTGATCTCCAGCTTCTAAGAATCATAGAGTCTGTTCAGGCTGGACTAGACAGAAACATGAAGACAGGGATGGTCCTAATGGACTTGGCCAAAGCTTTTGACAGGGTCTGGCACAAGGGCCTGATTGCTAAGATGTGCTCCGCGGGCATCAACCCAGACCTTGTCAAACTCTCGCAATCCTACCTCCACAGCAGGATCTTTACCGTGAAAGTTGGAGACAACAAGTCCAGGGTCAGAAACATAAAAGCAGGCGTCCCCCAGGGCTCTGTCCTAGTTCCGACCCTGTTCAACCTGTATACTGCTGACCTACCATTCTTGCCGCAAGTAAAGTACGCCCTCTATGCGGATGACACGGCTCTCTTTGTCACGCATAGAAGGGACGATATTATCCACCGCTGGCTCCAGCAGGCTACTGATGAAATCGAAGATTGGGCGGACCAATGGAGAATAAAAATTAACCCAACTAAAAACCAAGCCATCATAATCTCCAAGGGCGGAAGGACTATCCCTGAGCGAATTCGATATGGTGATACTTTCATTAACTGGTCTGAGCATGTCAAATATTTGGGAGTCATCATTGACAGAAGGCTCACATGGAAACACCACACAGAATACACAAAGAACAAGGCATGTGGCATAATGGAAAACTTAAAATCTATCACCCATATCAACAGCAAGCTCAACTTAAAAAATCGTAGACTACTCTGGACTAGCCTTATCAGACCCACTATTTCCTACGCGTCGGCTGTTTGGATCACGGCAGCCAAAACTCATTTAAGTCGCCTGGAGGTAATCCAGAACAAATTCATGCGCAGAATCACAGGCGCCCCATGGTTCATAAGAAACGAACAACTGAGAAATGACCTGAAGCTTGAACCACTGCTTGTTTACCTAAAAGCTTCAGCTAGGAAAACGCTGGAAAGGGGCGAGAACTGCGAAAACACCCTTGCTCTGGAAAGCATCAATTATGACTACAATGATAGGAGAAAATACAAGGGCACCAGGGGAGCTACCAACTACAATTACGACCCAGGATAATCTATCCTTACCTACTAATCCCTAATACTTACTTTCACCCTAATCTCTTGTACAACTGCTCGATGCTTTCTAACTTGCTGGCTTTGTTTTGACTGCTATTTTGTTTTGCTGCCGTTTTGTTTTTAATGCTATCTTTGCTTACCTACTAATCCCTAATACTTACCTTCACCCTAATCTCTTGTACAACTGCTCTATGCTTTCTAACTTGCTGGCTTTGTTTTGACTGCTATTTTGTTTTGCTGCCGTTTTGTTTTTAATGCTATCTTTGCTTTGACTTAACTGCTGTTTTAACTTTTAACTTTAACTTTTAACCTATGTCTTTATTTATTGTTTTACTTATTTTACTTACCTATTTTAACCGATTTTAAATTATTTGCTTATTTTTTTTTAACTGACCTATGTTACTTTTATAAACATGTCAACTTTTGTAATTTTCTGTTAGTAATCAAAAAGATGGAGCTCTTGAAAAAAAAAAAAATAATAAATAAATAAATACAATTACAATAATAAAAAAAAAATTACTCTCAATCTCCCAACTTAAGATTATTCTAACACGCCTTCAGCACAATGATAATGTAACCTGCCTGGCTTTTTGTTAAACCTTTTTGTTAACTAACATATACTAATATAGCTTAAGCGCGAATATTTTGTTCCGTTGAAGATGTAAACACTAATATTCTGTTCCAACTATAAACTATTTGTTTCATTCAATCGAGGTATATCATTCACACATGCAGACGAGGTTGGTGCCTAGTTTCTATAGCTAGTCCACCGGCCTCCCCCTGCTATAGAAAGTATAGGCCGCTGGCGGTCCAAAATTTTCTATAAAACTCAATAATCTCACTCTTAAATTTTATATTCAACCTCAGACTTTAATAAACAATTAAACATTCTTTTATTCATGACAGTCAACAGCACACTCTGTGCTGTTGCTATTTTGCTCAATCTAAATCTAAGTCAACTCAACGTGATAAGTGGGAGTCAAAGGCCCACCCTGGCCGACTCCTGCTTGGACCAAAAGTCCAGCATTTTATTGTTTTATTCAGGCTACATTTCCTTCCTTGACCGCAGCATTTTTTTTTTAGATTTTACATTTACACACTGAGAGCGAACATTACAAGCGAACAGGTCACACCGACGCTGAACTGAGTAGGCGTCGGACCCTATTAGCTTGGAGTTGCGTTTTTAAACGCCTAGTTTGTGATATTTTTGTGATATTTTTGTTTTGCACGAGGTTAGTTATTTTTGTTTATTTTTGTCTATGTTGTTTAAATTCGTATTTTACCATGAATGTCCCTTTTATCTATTTTATTTACAACATTTTTACGTATTTACATGCTAACATACTTGATTCTTAATCATTTATACCCTGTAAAGCCAAAATCATGTCCAACGTGCAAGCGTAGCTGAGCTCCGTAGCCTTCGGCCGCTGCGAAGGGTCTGCTACCAGCGCTTGGAAACACTGGTATTTATAACATTTCCAACAGAGCTTACAAGCCCCGCCCACTGCACCACGGCATCCCATTGGCTGCCCGTTTATTTTACACCGTTGGGTGCAACTAATGATCCCAAATCTATTTATTTTTAAGTTTTTCCCTTATTTTAACCTCGTGCATCCCCTAATTTAAGTGTTTTACACTGTTTTTGTCCCTAAGCTAGACTATTTACGTTTTACTAACGTTTTAAAAATTTTTAAAAGTAGAAAAAAAATCTGACTTATCCAAAAAATTTCTATTTTTGGCTTAACACAGTTACTGCCCCCCAACATTTTTCTTAGCAATAGAAAAATTATTTTACTATTCATTGTTAGCCTCCAAAACAAAATAAAATGAGTAATATCTCTCCACTCAAACCCAGTGAGATCCCATATCTGGACTCACTATTCCCAAATACCCAAACTTCTCTGGACCAACTTGACTTTGACTACGAAGGAAACCCCTTCATAAAATCCAGCAAAGTTTCACGATCCCCATTAACGGGCGGAAAAAACCCCCCAATACAAACAAAAAAAAAAAGAAAGGTGAAGAGAAAAATGACGATGCCCACAAAGGCGGAGATCCGGGAAAACGAACTACAGGAGGAAAAATCTCTCCAAAAATTCAGGAAAAGATCACCCAGTTCCAGAAAACATCCACCCAAACACCCGGCTTGGACGAAGAAAAACAGCGTATGACTAAAGAAAATCTAAGACTTGCCTGTCTGGTCGATAATCTAACCAAGCAATTAGCGGCCCAGACCGAGCTTCTAACAAGACAGAGTGCCCAGATTGAACAGCTACAAATTCAACTGGCACAACTAGTTGCAAACCAAAACAAAAAAGCCCATCTTGAAGATTCGGAGGATAATGACATTGAAAATGCACCCAGCAAAAGGAAACGGAGAGAGAACTGTTCCCCAAAACCCGCTACCACGGCATCCTTGACTGATTTTCCACCTCTGCGATACACTCCTCCAAAGCAGCCCAGCCTCCCTTCTCAGGTGGCAGGAAATTCCCAAGTAACAACATCACGGGCTGCGGACAAGCCTGCGTCAGGCTACACCCCACCGGAACAGCCCAACCACAATGCCCATCAGACCTCCATGGACACTGACCAATTAGCAGAGGCAAACAAAGCAACAACATCCGCTGCGAACATGCCAGCCCCCTCTGACACTCCAGTCAACCCAGAATATGTACCCCCAAGCAGGGCACAACTGCAAGACCAGGAAAATACCAAGACCAGCCAACAAGTTCCTCCAATCATACTCCGAACCAAGGAACGTTGGACCATGGTGTCCAAAGAACTTAAACATAAAGGCTGGCATTATTCCAAGGCGATCAACATTCCAGAGGGTGTCAAGATCTTTCCGGACACCGTGGATGCATACCGTTCGATAACGAAATTCTTCCAAACCAACGGTGAGCAATTTCACACCTATATGCTCCCGGAAGACAAGCTGCTGCAAGTTGTAATCCGCGGCCTTCCTGTTGAAATCGATATTAACGAAGTAGCTACGGAAATCAAAGAATTGGGCTTCCATCCCCAAAACTTAATTCGATTGAAAAAAGGTCCTGAGCGAAAGGTCATGCCACTAATCTTGGTAAAACTCCCAAAGAACGAAGCTGCTTTCTATGATACTAAAACCTTATGCGACATGAAAAAGCCCTGTGCTTATACATATAAGATTCAAATTCTGACCAAGATTCGAGTTCCTTAGCCTTCGGCCGCTGCGAAGGTTTTGCTGCGGTCACAGGTCGATTTCAGGCTTTATAGCCGGAGCAACAGAGCTCACAAGCCCCGCCCCCAGTTTACTGATCGCTCATTGGTCAGATAATATTTCGCACCTCGTGCACGGATTTAGTACGATCTTTCTTGTATATTATAATTTTAAAGACTTTTTAACAAATATTTGTATATTTTTTAAACATTTTTATCTATTTATATTGTCTCGTCCACCTATTATACCAAACTACCAGCCCAAGTGCCGCTGCTCTTGAGCTCGACACAGCGTAGTCCAGACAGAGCGGACGGAGGACTGAACGCTGCGTCATAGCTTATCAATATCCCGTTGGGTGCAACTTTTAATCCCAGAGTTAGTTGTCCCATATTTAAAAATAAACAATTCTGTCCCCATTTAAGTAAAGTGATCAGTGTTACCATGTCCAGCACGTCGCTTAACTTTACCCAAATGTTCCCTGACAAAAATATTGCAGCTGTGCAATATGATTTTTCCGGAAATAGAACTGACGAACACTACAACAAGGAGAAGGAGATTGCACAACAAAAACAAAAACAAAAACAAAAAGAAGACGAAGCTTTCGCAAAATCAAAAATAGTAGCTAGATCCCCGATAAAGGAATCAGCCACGGTAAAAAAAGGAAAATCCAAGGATGAAAGAAAAAAAGATAGAGACAAGCCAGATAAACCTAGGCGCAAAACATTAACAGATGCCACCCTTACAGTAAACAAGGTTGCACCGCTGGTAGAAAGCGCAATCACCAGCTTGTCCAGCAAGACAAACCTCACCGTCTCAGGCACAGGGTTTGATATAAAGGCATGCCTAATGGAAAGAGAAAATGAAAAGCTGAGAAAAGATAACGAGAGGCTTTCTAAGCTGGTTGAGACTCTCTCGGCCCAAATCAGTGCTCAATCCAGCCAAATAACGAACCTCCAAACTCAAATGGAGACGCTAATTCAATCCCTCGCCCCCAGCACCCTAGAAACCCAGGAAAACACCCCAGTAAACGACGCAGGAAGCTCAAAAAGAAAGCGAGCCAAACACGATAAAGATGACGACCATAACGGTTCCAACATAGAAATGCTGGATCTGGTGGAAACGCCGGGAAAAATGGGAACTCCTGGGTCACCTACTCCATCAACCAGCTATATCCCACCCTTACAAGCAGAGGCTGTAACAAAAAGCCCAACACAGCAAAACTCAATGGTAACTGATTCCCAAAATCTCAACGACTCTCAAAACAAAGATTTTCCCGCTCTACCATCATCCAGGTACTCCCCACCAAGGCAACTGGCCCCAACAAACCTGCCAACAGCCCCTACTCAACCTACATCGCAAAAGGAAAAAATTCCTCCTATAGTGCTCCGTCAAAAAGACAGATGGTTGAAAGTCTCAAAAGAATTTAACAGGCAAGGCTGGAAATTTGCGGATATTAACTCCTATAGGAAAACCCGCTACCACGGCATCCTTGACTGATTTTCCACCTCTGCGATACACTCCTCCAAAGCAGCCCAGCCTCCCTTCTCAGGTGGCAGGAAATTCCCAAGTAACAACATCACGGGCTGCGGACAAGCCTGCGTCAGGCTACACCCCACCGGAACAGCCCAACCACAATGCCCATCAGACCTCCATGGACACTGACCAATTAGCAGAGGCAAACAAAGCAACAACATCCGCTGCGAACATGCCAGCCCCCTCTGACACTCCAGTCAACCCAGAATATGTACCCCCAAGCAGGGCACAACTGCAAGAGGAAAATACCAAGACCAGCCAACAAGTTCCTCCAATCATACTCCGAACCAAGGAACGTTGGACCATGGTGTCCAAAGAACTTAAACATAAAGGCTGGCATTATTCCAAGGCGATCAACATTCCAGAGGGTGTCAAGATCTTTCCGGACACCGTGGATGCATACCGTTCGATAACGAAATTCTTCCAAACCAACGGTGAGCAATTTCACACCTATATGCTCCCGGAAGACAAGCTGCTGCAAGTTGTAATCCGCGGCCTTCCTGTTGAAATCGATATTAACGAAGTAGCTACGGAAATCAAAGAATTGGGCTTCCATCCCCAAAACTTAATTCGATTGAAAAAAGGTCCTGAGCGAAAGGTCATGCCACTAATCTTGGTAAAACTCCCAAAGAACGAAGCTGCTTTCTATGATACTAAAACCTTATGCGACATGAAAATCAAGATTGAGGCACTTCGCCGCTCAGGCAACGTCGGCCAATGCTACAGATGCCAACTCTTCGGACACACCCAGGCTAGATGCACGGCGTTGCCCAAGTGCCTCAAATGTGCAGGCCAACACGACTCAAGGGAATGCACGGTGGCTTCTAACCTCCCTCCTAAATGCTCCAACTGTGGTGGAGCACACACCGCAAATGCCCCAATCTGCCCAAAGAGACCGCGCACCAAACAGGCAGCTACCCCTAGCCTAGGCCCATCGAGGACTGTAGGATCGTACAGCCAAGCTGTGGCAGCCCAACCAGCACAACTTCAAGGCCCCTCTGTCTGGCAAACTCCCCAACCACAGCCCCAACAGGACATCACCTTGATGCTAACATCGCTCACATCCGCCATTCAAGGACTAATGGCCAGTCAGGAGGCCCTCTTCAATAGGCTCACTCACCAACAACAGTCATGAAAAAGCCATCTAGCCTCAAACTCATTGCTTGGAACTCCAATGGCATCAGGCTAAGGAAGGCCGAACTGGAGACCATCCTCGCTGAGGAGCAACCAGAAGTTGTCCTGCTAGGCGAAACCAGGCTTAAGCTTAATACTTCTCTCAACTTCGCCAACTACATAACCTACAGCCGTCCCAGAATAAACCAAAACGGAGGTGGGGGTGTCCTCATCCTGGTTAGGGGTGACATCTCTCACTGCGCCGTGCCGGATCTTCCACCAACTACCACGGAATCCACAGCCATATATATCGACACGGCCTTCTGTGGAAGACTCAAGGTTATCAGCGGCTACCTTCCCCCTGGCGGCCCCTTCCCTGAACAGGACCTATGCACTCTTATGGAAGAAAACATCCCCACCATACTCGCGGGGGACCTCAACGCCAAGAGCCCTGCCTGGAATAGCAGAACAACGAATTCCTACGGCAGGAGGCTACTCCACCTGTCTCAAACTAGATCATGGGACGTCCATGGTCCGGATGCCCCCACATATTTCGCCACCAACAGTCGACCAGACATCCTAGACATCGCTGTCACCAAGCAGTTCCAGGACCAACTCCAGATCACAACTCTGATTGATTCCTCCTCAGACCACAACCCCATTGTGGTCACTCTTGGACACTTCAGACCCGACCGCCTTACGTACGTACGTAAGATCACAACATGGCCACGCTTCCTCAGAATCACAGCACCACATCAACCGCCCCCAGAAGTCCCCAAGTCCCCACACGAAGTGGAGTCTCAAGCAGCGAACCTCACCTCAGCCATCTCTACAGCTCTACTGGAATCGTCAATTACAAGAATAGAGGAGTACACATCTCCCTATTTACTTCCCAGACGCCTGCAGGATCTGCTGAGCCGCAAGAGAGCGGCAAAAAAACGAGCACAACGCACGCTAGATCCGGCAGACAAACGCACATACAATAGGCTAACGACCCAATTTAGAGATGAGCTTAGGGAGTTCCGAGACGATAAATGGACTCAAACACTTTCCGGAATGGACACTGCGGCACCTGATTATTGGAAGCTGGCCAAAAATCTCAAAGCCAATCGGCCCAAGGCCAAACTTCCCCTACACGGAGTTGGCGGTCTGGTTTACACGGAGGAGGAAAAGGCAGAAGCCTTTTCGGAGCACCTGGAACGAACATTCAGACCTAATGACGGGCACGAAGATCACGAGGCAGAGGACAGACTAATAAGACGCTCAGTTAGGCTCTTGTGTGAGGCTGAGTACCCCTCCATCTCCCCAACCACGGAGGAGGAAGTTTCTGAAGTAATTAGGTCCCTTAAGAAAAGGGTAGCTGCCGGAATGGATAATATCCCCAACGTAGCCATCAGACGACTTCCTCAGTCGATGATCTCCCACCTAACATCAATAATAAATGGCATCCTGTGGACCCAACATTTCCCGGCGGTATGGAAATCTGCTAAGGTCATCATGATCCCCAAACCAGGTCAGAACATGGTCCATCCTGCCAACTTTAGACCGATCTCACTGCTTTCGTCACTGGCCAAGATAGCGGAGAGAATAGTCAAACGACGCATCGATTCCGAGATGGCAGAAGGAGCCATCCCCTATGAGCAGTTTGGCTTTAGGCCATCCCTATCCACCGAGCTCCAACTGATCAGAGTGGCCAACCATGTGACTAAAGCATATGACAAGAAGCAGAAAACGGGAATGGTGCTACTTGATATCGCTAAGGCCTTTGATAGGGTGTGGCACCCAGGCATCGTGGCAAAGATGATCAGCATTGGAATCTCCTCCCCCATGGCCAAATTGGTGGCATCCTATCTCCATGGGCGCACCTTTACGGTCTCCGTTGGCGCAGCCAACTCTACACCAGCCAGGATCCGAGCCGGAGTCCCCCAGGGCTCCGTCCTTGGCCCAACATTATTCAATATCTACATGGCGGACATCCCTCACCCTCCCGGCCCGGACCTGGCCATGTATGCGGACGACACGGCAATGTACTTCTCCAGCAGGCGTGCAACGGAGATTCAAAAGGTACTACAGCATGGACTTGACATGCTGGAAGAATGGGCAACCAGATGGAGAATTGCTATAAACCCGGCCAAAACCCAGGCGATCATCTTTGCCAAAGGACCAAACATCTCACTGCCCCCTCGACTAACCTACTCGGACCAGGAGATAGAGTGGATAGGCGAGGTTAAATACCTTGGCGCAACACTGGACAAAAGGCTGACATGGAAGTCACATATCTCCAATGTCATCAACAAGGCCTATGGAGTCACTACAGCGCTACGCCCGCTACTCATCCCGAAAGGCGAACTGTC